TTGTTTGCGAAACACATTTTATCAACTTTGAAATTAATTTGTCTTCTTGCTTGATTAATAATTACAAACATATTTCCGGTCTACGATATCCGGGACTGTATTGTGATTAAGGATAATTTTGTGGTTCAATAAACTTTATAATATAAACATACAACCGGGTTCCTGAGATAGTTTTTCGCAGACGGGGCCAGCTTCACCCACGCACTGTATTTTGATTCCATTGGCGTGACCAAAAACTGGGAAATGGCCGGTTTAGGTTCAACAAAAGAATGGAAAGTGAAATATCGTCACGATTAGAAAAGAGAATGCCAATCCTGTATTCGATCAAATGGGTTTTTATTCAGGGATTCACGTGACCCTGACCTTTGGAAGCGAGAGTAAATAAATGACACTTGGGGCATATTCTTTGCTCCTTCTGTCTTTTCTCACGACAGACTAACGCACAAAATCTATACTTCAACTAGCGAGAAATTTTACTGTCCGTCAGAACATCTCTGACAGCGACTGTCATTCTCACTGTCCCTATCTTGACGGATGACCGGTGACTGACCTCTGAATTAATGGGTGACTTGTGATGCCATTCTAGAATGCAGCTCGACTAAATTGATAGTTTCCTTTCTGTGTCTGCTATCAACATTGTGTCATCTGCATATCTTATTTTGTTAAGATTTTGGCCGACAATAATAAATTCAGGTAAAACTTCTAATTCTATCAAAATCGCCTTCGCTATAGAAGTTGAATAAGTCCAGTAAGAAAACCCATCCTTGTCTTACGACCTTTCTATTTTTTCATATATACTGAATTCATTTTCTGTTCGTGTGCAGGTTGATTGCTGCCAGTATAGATTCTGGATTATTCTAATATCCTTCCCAAATATTAACGAGTGCTCATTGTATTTCTGTCTCAGTCTAAGAAATGATAAACTGAATTTGTCAGATTTCATGATGAAAGTCAATTTTTACAAAATAAAATTAGTATTAACCAACCAATGTTGATAAAATTTTCACGATATAAGTTAAATATAAGTTGCTTCCTCTGTATGTACCGTATCCCCTCAGGACGTAAGCGATCATAGCTCTCCACAACTTCATGTCCCTTGTAACACCGAATATATTTTGTCTTTTCTCTTAAGCTCTGTTCCGCCATCCATTTATTCAAGCCCATTCAGTGGATTAGGGTTGCTTGCCTCTGGTTTTATTGCCCTCAGTCTGACTTGTGAGTATCAGATTTTCCAAGCCCTACTTCCTCATTATGTACCCCAGAAACCTCAATTGAAGTTTTTCTATTTCTTAATACTCTGCTTGGCTTCTGGAATGCATCTTTGATTATCCTGATGCCCCCTCGGATTTCAGTGTTATACTTTCCGTATTCTGTTAAAATACTTCCCAGATATTTAAATTGTTGTTGTGCCTGTTTGATCTTGGTATCCCCATTTTGTAATTTGAATGCTGGGATGCCCCTTTTGCTAACAACCATGAATTCTATCTTTTTTTCCAATTGATATTTAGTCCTTTCTTCTCGCTTTCATTCATTACCCCAGTAGGAGATTTCTAGTTTCTTTTCTGTGTTTCTTATCAACATTGTGTCATCTGCATATCTTATGTTGTTAGAATTGTGGTCACCAATAATGAAACCTGGTAGGACTTCTCGTTCTCTCAGAATCGCCTCGCTGTATAGGTTGAATAATTTGCTACTGGACATAAAATGGAGGATCGGTTTTCTACTTTATTAAATAATAAATCGATCCCTCCTAAAAAATATTTCACTATTTCAGATTTTATTAAGTCAATGTTTTGCCAATAAAATAAAGTGGGGGTCGGTTTTATATTGTTAGTAAGTAATAAACTGATCTCCCATTAGAATTACTACACGATGCCAGATTTTATGATGTAAGTCGATGTTTTCACAACAGAGTTGATCTTAATCAATCGATGTTGGTGAAGTTTTACGTATAAATATAAACATTGAAAATGAAGTTCAGCTTATAGGATTTTATTGCAAATCTTTACAGGAACTTTATTTGGTGGTGTGAGATTTTATTAAGCAACTCGAATGTTGCTCATCACATTATAAATAAATGCATAGGATAATAGAATTATTGATAATGGTTTGTTTCTAATATATAAAGATGATTATGAGTCATAATAAAGACATAGCCTCAAATGACAAACAAGATACAGTAAAAGTTATTGAGCGATGGAAGCGGCGTTGTAAATTCTGAAAAACTTGAACAGCGATTATAGAAGAGAAATTAAAATCATTGACAAGAACAAGAAAAAGACCATTTTTTTTAGAATGTCCCAAAAAGTTACAAAAAGATGTTTACGATTAATTAAAGGTAATAAGCAAGAAAAATAAATTGGCCAAGAAAATATTTTTTTAAAAATTAGTGTTGCGAATTTAATCTGAGAGAAAAGAAACAGAATATTAAGAACATTGAGAAAAGGCATGAAAGCAACTAAACTACAACCTTTAAGTAAATATCACAAAACGAAACGTGTAAGTTAAGCGAAGTCCATGAAAACTGATTTCTCACCAGTCGGTAGGTTTTAATGATGAATGCAGAGCTACATTGGTTGGACTTAATTACTAGACTAGAAAAGATCGATTTTTTTTGTCATGGAAATAGTCAATCAACACCACTTAAAAGACAACAATGAGGATGTGATGCTTTGATTTATTATTGTAAGCAATAAATGATGGTTAAAATTTATGTAATTCTTGGGCAATGTTTTATTTTGAGTCTCACAACCAAGAAGCTTGAAGAGTTTATTCATGCAAGCCAATGCTCCTTCACATTTTACAAAACTAACTATTGCCCACCCTTACAAAAAATATTGAAATATATCACATGGCATAGTCCACAACTTCTCTTGATATTAAACCAATAGAAAAGCCGTGGTCTGTCGTTAAAAGAGATTCATATGAAAATGAAAACCAATATTCAAGCTAAGATCTTTGGGAAGCAATACCAAAAGTCAACAAAATAGAGAAAACGAATGAATAAAAGATATGAACAATGTCAAGAAGTCCATATTAACAAGTCCTGGGTATGACGATAAACTACACTCGGCTGCAAGGCCTCTGATCGGGAGGTTTTGAGGAGAGTGGAAGCTTAATTGCTGATGTTCCCAGGTCCACCCTGACCCGGGGTTGTAGCACTTGTAAGGGTCCCGGCTAAAGGTAAATAGAAAAACCCTAAGCAAAAAAATAAGTATAAAAATACATTTTTATAATAAAAATACCAGCAATACATTTTTTATATAAAAAAATGACCAACAGTACATATTTATAGTAAAATTACCAATAAAACATACATACTAACAAGTTGTAACGACTTGTAGTAGGCCGTGGCTGTGATGTTGTTGAGTAGACGTAGAAGAAACACATGTGGGTTCAGATTTTCCTGATAGCCGGTCCAACTACACAAGAAAGTTGGACTTTTAATTAAGTCCAAAGAATGCAAAGAAAACAAACAAAACACAAGATCGATAATATATGTATACAAATATGTATATTAATAACAGGTTACATAGAAACAGTTACAAAAGGACAAAGTGTGTGTGAATATTATATATGTGCGTTTGTGTGTGTGTGTATTGTGCTTAGCGTGTTCCCAGCATTTTGGGAAACGCTATCTCTGGTGAGCGTTCACATTTTTGAGGTGGTAAGGCTGGAAGCCTGAGGAAAAAGAGAGATTTACCTCAAGGTGTCGGCGCACAGGCCTGAGGGAAAAAGAGAGAGAGGCGAAGGGTCAGCGGCTATTTATAGCCAGGGAAGAGAGACCCCTAGTGAAAGGGTTAACGAACTAAAGGAGGAGTTAACTCCGACAGACTTCACCCAAATCCGATTAAAATGCTACCAAACAACCAACATGAAAGAACTCTTTCATAACATTAATCCATATAAGATTCTACTATTTTTTAAAGAAATCAAACTATTTCAAAATATAATTTCAACAAAACTACAATATAAAACCTACATATCACCGCCTCTAGTAATTATAACCACACAAACATATATATGCATAAAAGCTGAGTATCATCTACCATGTATTCAATTGTGAAAGCACAATAACATATATCATATTTTTATTACTTCCCAAGGAAATTAAATTTCAGCATTAAATGGCCCATTAGGATGTTGGAATGCCGTTAAAGAAACAAATCAATCATATTAACATGTAAAACTATATATTGTATTAATCAAATATAAGTTTAAATGGCCGTCTTTTATCTTTTGGGTTGATTCATAAATATATTTGTATTCTTAGTTTTGCATAATAAAACCTGACACCCACAAAAAAATCGTTATCGATATTTTTAATCCGAATAAATAAGCTGAAATTCACACAGTATATTTATCATATAAACATCAGTTTGTTAATATCTTGAAAATTTTACCAACATGGATTTTATTGCAAAAACCTTGATTACAAACATAAAATTTGTCAGTAGTAAATGAGTTGGCAATTAATCGAGAAATGGGTACGGTATACCTGTTCTGACCTAATAACACCTTCTTTATAAATGTTCAGTCAATTGTATTTTTACCCTGATAATAAATATTACTTCAGTAAACGTCATCAGCTGAAAAATCTTTTTGTGCGAAAAGAGAAAAAACAATTTAAAAGCAGGATTTCCTTTCTGTCAATTACGAACACATCGTGTGCAGTCGAGTGTTAAAAATGCCTATAACTGTAAAACGGAAATTTTTAGAAAATGAGAAAATTTCCATGTTATTAAGGCTTTTAAAAATACATTTTTTCAATTCTGTATATATATATATAACAGTTGTTCGTTGACATAAATGTTCATTGCTTCGATGTTCAGTGATTACAATCGTTCGTAGATTGGTTACCGCGGCAAACAACACTGAAAGCAGAAAAAAACACACGAAGGAGTTTTTTTTGTTGACAAGTGAGAGGCTGAATAAAACAAATCCAAATCTTTGTGAAGAAGACAATTAAACAAAGACGAATAGAAATTTATTATTGCAACATGAAAACGGTAAGAATTTTGTTTTTATTTCATTTCCTATTCAAAAGTAGTCAATTCGTGCCATCAAAAATATCTTCTTTTTTTGCGATGTTAATTTTTTTTTTTAAATTCTCATATGTATGCCTTTAAAATTTAAATGTTTTGCTCAATTATTTATTATTATTATCATTTAATTGGTTCACCCCAATCAAGGCGATAATGCCACTAGAACGCAGCTTTATATGAAGTGAAAGTGATAGCGAAAGAGAAGACTGAGAAAATGGAGGATTGAGCGAAGGGCAAAAAAGGAACAGGCTTCAAGAAAATAGAAGGTGGCGATTAAAGTTGCGTTTAGATTTTTGAAAATTGTAGTTATTAGGGAAACAAGAAATCGTGAGAGCGTTCCACATGTAGGAAGTGTGAGAAATTGTAGTTATCAGGGAAACAAGAAATCGTGAGAGCGTTCCACATGTAGGAAGTGTGAGAAAAGAAACTCTTGGAGTAAAAGTGGCAGTTGTGTCTATTTCAACAGTAAAAGGGTGGGACCTAGATGCCAATCTAGTAGCACGCTTAAATTCATGGAATCGGGGCACCAGAGAAAAAAAATCGTCAGTTGAAAATATTTCGTTACGTCGGTGAGAAATTGACTGAAGTCCAGATGCCAAGTCAGGATCAGTTACAGATCGTTCTTTGGATTTTGTCAAGAATCTTGAGATGAACAGCAGGAGTGCAAAACCAGATATGGCAGCAGTATTCAATGCTGGGCATCAGTTTATGATTTAATAGCAACAGAAAAAAATAGTCTCCCACTTTATGTCCAGTAGAATCTTAGATTAAATTAATTCACTCGTGCCGTCAAAAATGATGGCATATTTCGTTAAGTGTTTACAATTTACACTATTTACATTGTTTGGACTGTTGTTCTCATTTTTATTGCCATATTCATAGTGTTTCGACCGTTGTACACTCCTGCCTTCTTCAGGTGATATACACTCGAATTTTGAACTGGGTAATTTATTTAGTCCACTGGGGTAGTTTGTTCTAGTTCCACATGCCATGCCTTTTCTAGATATCTCAGTTTCAGTTATCTCTCTTTGTAACAGAACTCTTCAAGTTTTCTAGGGATATGCGAGTGGCATAACAGATATTGACTTAAAAAAAAATTATTATCAAACCGAGTTCAAATCCTAACTTATGTTTGCAAACTAAGTGTGATTTCATCTCTTCTCCCCTCAGTTATGGGTTAAATATCAGGGTAGACTGAGCTCTCTAACCTTGGATGGCAGCCAGTCTATAAGAAGGACAACTCTGAATTCAAAACCATAGAGAAGAAAACCACTCTACTATTATAAATCCTACCTACTAATATATATATATATATATATATATATATATATATATATATATATATATATATACATAATATATATATATATATATATATATATATATATATATATATATATATATATATATATATACTTGAAAATTGCTTTGGCATGAAATTTGGAGTTGTGCAATTAATATAAGATTTGATGTATATTTCTTATAATATATATATATATATTAAATAGCTTTTATTTTACATTGCGCACTGTTTTTCTTACACTACAGAGTATTAATATGTATTTGATCACTCGTATACCTACCTATGTTTATCCAATGCACCGTAATGAAGTTGCATCTTTGTTGTGAGTAAAATGTTTTTGTCTATATGAAAAAATTATGATAAATAATTATTGCTCTTCTATTGGTATTGAGCCCTCTTTTGAATTAATGATGTGAACGTTAGAATTTATATATTATTTTCATTCTCATAACATTCAGATATATATATATATATATATATATATATATATATATATAAAATGTCAATTTGTGACTGGTAATGATAATTCCAAGAAGGATATTAATCCAAAGAGAGCTGTAAATTAGAGAGCATTATAATAATAACAAGAAAAAAACCCCATAAAGATCCATTTTGCTTATAATTTATTTTGTGAATATTTTTATATATTCATCTCTTCAGACCAAAAGTTCTTAATAAATGGAGACAATTCATCTTGACTGATATCCGACATAAAAAAGACAAAGGGAAAGCAAGAAAAGGGAGAGAGGAAGAAAAAAAAAAATAACAGATTTTCAAATATCAAATTTTTTTTTAAAGAATTATAAATAAACGTACATAATTCTGATGGGATTTTTGTCGGTGGCTCAGCCATTTTTTTTTTTTTTTCAATGGCATGTATATGAAATCAAGATTAGAATTGTTTATTAAAAATGTTTCTTTATTTTATGCAATGGTGTGTCATGACAACCTTCATTATGTTGAAACTTGTCAGTTTTCTTGCATTGATATCCTTTGAAACTTATATTTACATTTAGTTAATCCTAAAGAATTATTTGCTTTTTAAAATCTACAAAGCTAAAATCAATGAATATCTGTAACAAAAGCTGTTTCTCTTTCTGACTAAAAAAATTTACATCTATTCTATTCCCTACTTATAATGAAGCAATGTAATTTTGAATTAAGTTGCACTTCACATATCACCTACGATTACTTGAAACACATCATCCACCATTCTTAGCCACGTAGCTGAATATATGAAAGTATTAATCTTAATTTTATCAATTTATATGCTTTTTATAATACTTCTTTATTTTCAAGACCTTCGTAAGAGAGAACGTTTCATTATCACAAATGTTGGAAAAGCAAATTTTCAATGGTTAAATACTGACTGCAGGAAGTACGTTTCACAAATCTACTTTTATTGCTCAAACATTGATAAAAGTTTCCTTCCATACCTTTTGCTTTTGCCTGTGTGGAAAGTTAACAACTTGATTGTGTTATTAGTTCCTCTCAGAGTTCCATGTGCAATTTATTTTTGTTGTTGTTGCTGCCTTCAAATCATTCTCCCTTGCATGGAGTATTGCTGCCATATATGGTCTAGGGCACCTTCTGTTTACCTTGGAGTTCTTGACAAGATCCAGAGGCAGATATGTAATATAATTGGCCCTGATCTGGCGTCTCATCTACAGTCACTCTCTCACAGACGCGCCATCGCCTCTCTCTGTCTTTTCTACAAATACTTTCATGGTAATTGCACCGATGAGCTGCTTTCACTGATTCCCAGACTCCATGAATTCAAGCGCCCTACGAGGCTGGCATCCCGCTCCCACCCTTACACTGTAGAAACTTTTAAATGTAGCCGTCTCTTCTACTCCAATAGCTTCATACCTCGCACCTCTGGAACACCCTTCCCAATTACTGTTTCCCTGAGAGTTATAATCTCCAACTATTCAAATGTAATGTCAATCGACACCTCCAGTTACCTTGATCTACCCACTATCCCTCTCCTCATCCTTTCTTCTATCACTCCTATCTTCTCTTGCTCCAAATCTTCTGCAACCCCCTGCATCCTAGTGGCTTCACGCCTTGCTCGGGGCGTAATGCTTAAAAAAAAAATGTGGTTGGTTTTGTTATTCGGCAAAGCTTGTTCTTTGCAATTTTACAGTGTCACCTTTTAAGATTTATAGGATTGACCTGATTTCTTGACCTGAATGAGTTCATGGTTTTTCCTCTACAACACAATGAGCAACAAATTCATGGCTAACTACCCATGAAGCTACTAACCATTAATTTTATCCTTTATACAAACAATAATCGATCTCGTCGTCATCAGCTTTATTTCATACCCAAAAGGTGAATTTCTTCTTTGCTGATTGCTTCATTTATGATGATGGTGTTGAGAACTAAATTCACCGCCTACATGCAGGTTCAAGACTAGAAGCATCCAGTTTTACCAAAACTTGTTCCCATCATCCATTCCCTATCAGCTTTTGGCTTTGCAAGATTTGCTTGGAGGTGAAAGAAAATCAGAGTAGAAGAAAGGTGTTGCTGGCATGAATTTGTTTAAGGTGTGGGCCTCAACTTGCCTGGAAGCATTCTTGCCTTACAAACAATAATAACAAAACTGAAAAAGTCTGTTTTAAATGAATAAGACTCCATAAATATTTATAAAAATCTAGTTAGCTTTAGAAATTTTACAAGTATGAATCTATATGAAAACAATGTACATTGCCATGTTATTTTCTAGTTAAATGTTTATTTCTTTTCTAGGTTAACCTAAAATCCTGTTTCTTTGCACTGATTACATACTTCCTGGTTGCAACAATTTATTGTGGAACTGCTCAGAATGCCCTCTGTAATAGTGATTTGATCAAAGAACAAAAGAATTTCATCCGAGTGATAAAGAGACAACAGTTGTCGGAAAATGAAAGCCTACCAATCATCAAAACCTGGACACGCAAAGCCAAGTGTGAGAAACGCCTAACTGAACGAAGCTTATGCCCCTGGGACTGTTACGAAAATTACAATGCTACACGTTACCCTCAAATCATCAAAGAGAAAATATGTAAGAAAAGATTGAACAGAGGACGTCCCAACTCATGCCGGGTGGTGGACAGTGACGAGATGCATTGTGCCAATGTCACTACAAGCATCCAAGTGCTAGAATTTGTCCATCATTGCAATCATTTCGATATTTACAGGAATCAGACAATTCAGGTTCATACAGGATGTTCTTGTATAAATTCAGGTTAACAAAACATTTTCCTATTATCATATTAAAAAAATCATTTATCATCTTTTGACTTAATGTCCCAAAGGAAACATTTATTTCAAGGAGTCACGAGTAATGTTACTCGGTTCATATTTTGTTTGGTGTGTGTGTGGGGGGGGAGGACTCCTCCTATCCAAACCTTTTACATTTTCTCTGCCAAAAAAAACAACACATTAGGATCACTGTATTATTCTTTTTGTTCATCCCTCTTCTGAAAAATATCAACAAAATTCTGTTTCCAAAGCCTCATTTCTTTTGTTGTCCTAATAATATATCTTAATTTTCATAAATGATTTTGTTTTAAAATTGTTTCATATATGAGGCAAGAATATCATAAATATTATTTATTACTCATGCCTCACTTGTGTGTAGTTCAGTAACAGAGTCCATTTTACAACTCACATTCAGTTTTTATTTTATTTTATTTTTTTTTGTTTTACAAGTTTCTGATTGACCATTAGCTTCATCATAATAAAATCAACTTAAATACCATGACCATTTTTTGAAAGTTTTGTTTATTGAGTTATGTTTGTTATTTAATAATTAGTCATTGATTAAAACAAATTACTGTACATGTATGCAATTTTTAAAATCTATCAACATTTTCTATTGTTATTAAGTTTGTAAAATTCCTCTATAAAAATAATCCATGTAAATGTATATATACTATGGAAAAGAAGGAAGATTTTCAATAATATAATTATATATATAATTATAATAATATAATTAATATATTATTTGAAATTAATCTTTTTGAATCAGACAATCTTGGAAATAGGGAGAATGACATTTGGTAAAAAGAGAATTTACCAAAAAAGGTTGAAAATGTATGTCACATTTTCTGATTTCTTAATTATTAATTTATATTTTGACATTATAAAGTTTTTATTTTTTCCTAAATTTATACTAATAAGCTGCAACCATATTTTCAGAGATCACGTTTATATTTTTAAATTGGTTGATGGAGAGAGAAATAAAATAAAAATTGTGTATTCTGGGCTGATAATTCATAATATCAAAATTATGTTTGAAATATAAAAATCTTAAGGAAATGATTTTTGCTGAATTTCGAAGCAAGATTAAAATTTCAATGTCATGCATGGCATCAAACATGTTCAGAAATATCTAAACTATTGGCCATATACAACCATTTTCTCAGATCAAGAAGTCAAAATGGCTACAAGTGAATGAATCCTTCAAATCCTAAAAGAAAATAATTCTTGATAAGATTTTATTGAAAGGTGCTACATAATTGCAAACTCTGCTAAAGAAGAAAAATCAAATCATTCAAAGATTTCCAATAGCAGCAAAAACAAAAATTGGTAGCACATGTAACTAAAAGATACTGATATAATTAATCTATTAACTTTCCACACAAAAAAAAACCAAAAGGTTTCAAAAGAAACTCCCATCACTACTTGACTGGGGCAATAATTTGTATTTGTCTAATTTCTTGATAAAATGTGTTAAGAAAAAGATTATACATTTCAATCAACAGTAATGCTAACCTTTTGTTCAATGAATGCCAAATATTTCCTTATAAGGAAATGGCCTACTATCAGCCTTATCACATATAGCCATGCATTTTGAAATTTTATTAAATAATCTTACTTGGTAATTCAGAGGACATCATTTCCAAAGAAAAACTAGTTAAACATTAAAAAAAAAATTAAAATTTCTGTGAAGCCGCTGGATATAATTTATTCTGTAACTTTAAAAAAATAGTTTCATATTAAAATTACACAATGAAATCATTTCTACATTAAATTCATTGGTGGATGATTTAAGCCATTAATGTCCATTTTTGCACTTTCAGGATGGCAGTTATTAATGGTTTACATGTCAAAACCTATAACATTGGATTTTTATTTTACCAATACTAGATTTCACTGTGGATAGGTTGAATTACCATAAAATTCAGTGACGTGACTAAAAAGAAAGTTCCCTTTTGTATATTTAAATGTATAGATTATTCATCCTAGTTTTAAACAATATCAATTTTCACACATGATGAACAAACAAAATTGTTTTATTTTTGACTTAAAGCAAAGTACATAGTGTTTGCTCATACGTTTAAGTTTCCATTAAAACAGACTTAGGTTTGGTTATATAAACTTTGTACCAGTTTTTGAGCTAATATCTTGGTTGGCAAGATTTAGTTCTAATTTGTACAAATCTGGAAATATAAATAAAATCTGAAATGAAAGTATCATTTTAGACATTTTATAGATGAATTAATAAAGAAATGAGAAACATTTATGTAAATGAAATGGAATGGAATGGAATTATATTCAATAAATATTTTTTTTTTCAACCTTTAGACAATTCAGCTCTTTGTTTTGTTGTTACTAGATTTTAAAATTTTTCTCCCCCCCCCCCAACCATTCATTTACGTAAGTGCAACAGGGAGGTAACCCTGGAGTGGGGGTCATAATAATGCAATGAAATGTCATTTAATGACTTGAGGTATTGAGAAATTTAAGGAGTAAAAAAAAAATACAAAGTGAAAAACAAAAATGGACGATTAGTTTGCCAGATTGAAACGTAATGAAAGGCGGCTTGTTTTAGCAATATTAACAAAATTCTTATGAGGAAAATATCGGTAGGATTGAACCGCAAAGAAACCTAGTATGATCTATATATGACCGAATATTCACTATCTCACTTCTCATCCCCAATGTGCTTTCCTCCCAAGAGAGTCTTTGTGGCAAGATTACATCCATCAATGTCATATTCTTCTGGACAGATGACATAGAAGTGAGATCCTACAATTACTTGAGCAGTTTGCACGTTTTAGGTACATATAGAGAGAAATCTCTCTAGAAGCTGAAGGAATCTGATAGACAGGTACAAGCTTCTACTTTAACTATTAACTACTATCATCACCTCAAGAATATTAGTAGAAATCATAAAAGCATGAGTGTAACCGTTGACAGCTTTTATGGCATTTAACTGCTGATAGTAGCCTTTTTCCTTTTCAAGAAAGTTTCCAAATCAAGAAAACCACTACCCACTAGAAATCTAATCCTGGCAGGTACACAACATTAAATCACTGGATAACTGCATCCAGTAACAGGTGAAAACAGTGAACTGCCAAACCCACCCACAGCACATTACTGCTCAATTGATCTGTATTAGATTTGGCATCAGAGACTAGAAGAGGTTTTATGTTTGACACTGCAACTAATTTTATATGCAACATCTCTGCCTTAACTGTCATTTTTTTTTTCTCTCCTCAATATGAGTAGATAGATTTGCCTACTTCCTGGTCTTTTGAACAGGAGTAGAGGTTTGTCGCTTGTTTACTGTTGGGTTTCCAGCTCCTTTTAAATGTCCACACCAAACTCTGAAATTTTATTCACTAACTTTTTCATTTTATTTTTGAGCTGGGAGTAGATAGGGTCACCTATTGTCCAGTTCACACTCCTCCTCGGTCTTTTGAACAGGATTAGAGGTTTATTGCTTGTTTCCTGTTTAGGATTGGGTTTCCGATTCCTTCTAAAGTCTTCTCATTCTCTTTCACTCCCAGTAATCCATGTGTCTTAGTAACATTATTGCCTTGCTCAGGTGAATTGAAAAAAAAAATATATATATATATATAACATAAGAATATTGGTAAGATTTCCTGCAAACATTTTGCAGATTTAATGGTCACAATCATACCAAGTGAGGTGATATTATTTTTAGTAAGAAGTTTACCCAGTTGGGTTGTTAGCCATACATAAAAGATGGCTTTGCCTTTAAAATGCTTCATTAGTGTCTTGCTATTCTCCTCCTTGCTGACTGCACTGAACAGATAAAGAAATAGATTTGTACCTTTCCTAGAAGAATTATTGTAAAGTGAATTTAAACCATTCTGATTTCATTCTCCATACCTTTAAGCCACCATTTATTTTTGTTGTTTTTAAATCACTTCTCCAGTGATTATGATAACAAAGCTTGAAGAATATAGAATCCAGTCAGTCACATAATGAGGCTTTAAACCTAAAATGTATTATTAACAAATACTTTTTCTATATACCATGTCCCTTCAGAACATAGACAATCATGGCTCTCCACAACTTCCTGTCTTTTGTAGCTCTTAATACATTGTCTTTTTGTTATTTCTCCCAAATCTTATTCCATTATCCATTTGCTCTAACCTCACTAACGATGTTATTCCTTGTTTTTTTCACTTGCCTTCAAGCTGTCCTGTCAGTATCAAATTATCCAAGCCATCTTTCTTCATATGCCCTAAAAATTTCAACAGTCTCTTACCGATATTAAGTGTAAGTTTCCTTTTTGTTTCCATTTTCTCTAAAACTTCATGGTTGCTCACATGTTCAGTCCATGGTATTCTCAGTAGAACCATGTTTCAGTTGTTTTGAGTCTTTTCTTCATATGCAAGGACATTATCCAGCATTCACTACTTTAAACCATTATGACAAAGAAGAAAGACTTGCATCTAACTTCCATGTGTGAGGAACATTTCTTGCTTTGAGATGAGAATTTGGATAAAAATATATGTGAAGAAAACTTACCAAGGTACAAGCGTCTCAGGTTAAAATGAGGATGATATTAGTCTAAACATTGCAATAATAAAAACTGACTTTTCAATCAATTATAACCATTGTAAGCTATCTCTCCTACAATCCAAAATATATATATTCCAGCTTTAAATAACCCACAAATGCTTAATAAACCATAAAAAACCAAATCAATCAATTACAAGCATCAATTTAAAAATAACAAATAAATAAAGAGGTCGAATTTCTTAAAGCATCAATGTGACTGTTGTCCTCATCTTCCTTAAATTTCAACACAACATTTTGACCAGTTAACTCTCATCTGTAACAGATTTTAACTTAAGAGTACATAGTTTATTCCACCTATTAGGGGTTGAACACTGAATATAACATTGGTTTTATATGCAATAATCCATTTACTAAAATGGCACCTCTCTCTCTAGGCAATCACCGAGAGGTTACACAAAAGCAACAAT